ACTCATTAACCTGTAGCAGCCAGGCATTTCAAATCAATTTAGGAGCAACTAATCAGTGAACTTGGCTCTTAGTTCCAGTCAGGTACAGAAGCAGATAGCTGTGTTTAGCACTCGAGATTTACCACTACCCTGGTTAGTTACTAACAGATGCACCCTGCTATAATAGCAACAGTTTTGGGTGATACGGATGGCTTTGCATGCATTGGCTTTCTGGAGGACCAAAGTGAAGCCATGTTACTGTGGGAGATTTTGTGACAGACAATGCTTTAAGCAAGGAAATACCTGGAAAAGCTACACCACTGAGTATTACTACATTGCTTGCACATTGCTTTCATCAAACATGGGCAGGTTCTAAACACTTTTGATGGTATGTCATTAGACATCCTCTTAAAGTACCAGTCTGGCTCCTCCTTTTTGATTTTCTATATCAGACGCTTTAAAGATTTTTATTATTATTATTGGAAAGTCATATACGGATAGAAGGAGAGACAGAGATGAAGATCTTCTGTCTGCTAAATCACTGCCCCAGCGGCCATAACGGCTGGAGATGAATCAATCTGAAGACTGGAGCCCAAAGCCTCATCCAGGTCTTCCACACAGGTGCAGGGTCCCAAGGCCTTGGGCTGTCCTCAACTGCTTTCCCAGGCTGCAAGCAGGGAGCTGGGTGGGAAGCAGGGCTGCCAGGATTAGAATAGGTGCCCATATGGGATCCCTGTGTGTGCAAAGCTATCACACTGGCCCCCTCTAATTTAAAAACTTTAAAAGGCACCCATTTTTCTTAAGTTTAATGTTGAAAGATTGTACTGACATGTTTGAATTAGTAAGAACTTCAGTTCTTTAGGGATGTGTGATGGTATTGATCACAATTGTCTTTTATTTAAGCGGAACATTGAGAAATAAAGCTTTTATTAACTTGAGGTTATGCAGGCCAGGGGCAGTAGCCTAGTGGCTGAAGTCCTTGCCTTGCACTGACAGGGATCTTACATGGGCACCGATTCTAATCCCAGCAGCCCCCCTTCCTGTCCAGCTGCCTGGAAAAGCAGTCAAGGATGACCCAGAGCCTTGGGACTCTACACCTGCATGGGTAACCCAGAAGAGGCTCCAGGCTCCTGACTTCTGATTGGCTCAGCCCCAGCCATGCAGCCACTTGGGGAATGAATCGACGGATGGAAGATCACCTCTGTCCTCTGCATATCTGACTTTACAATAAAGATAAAATCTTTCAAAAAGTGAAGTTATGCAAACTCATTGAGGTGTATAGCTTTTTGGTGAATTTGGATTTTTTTTTTAAATTGAGAATTAGACAAATAGTTACCTCTGTTCTGCTGTTTCACTCCCCAAATAAAATAGCTAGAGTTGGGCCAGGCCAGAGTTGGGAGCCAGAAACACAATCTGGGTCTCCCACGTGATTGTCTCTAAAGGTGCTGCCTCCAAGGATCTGTAGTAACCCGGAAACTAAAGCCAGATTTCAAAAGCCAGGATTTGAACCAAGTTACTCCCAAATAAGATGAATTGTATTAACTACTAGGCTCAAGTTTCACTCCTATTTTTCATTTTTATCTTGTCATTTCATTTTTCCATAAACTTTGTGATGCCTCTCAAATTACTGCAAAGTCAGAATTTTACTCAAATAATAAAGTCATACAAAGAAAAAGGATGAAAAGGCTTTCAGATTAAGGGACTCAAGTACTTACATGAACTAAAAACAAAACAAAACCTTTATAACATCCTCTTCATTCTGTTGATATAATTCTATTGGTGTTTGAATGTTAAATGTAGCAATCCTCTTGAGACTCCTATGTGACCTTGAAAACTATACATTGCTTTTCCCAAATTTCACATAAACCCTGCCTCCCTGGGATCAAATGTTCTGTTAACTTGAGATTTAGAATTAAAAGGTCTCAGGACCTGGCTAGTCCTCCCTCTTGAAGTGCCGGCATCCCATTTGGGTCCATGCTCCACTTACTATCCAGCTTTCTGCTAATGGCTTTGGAAAGCAGAGGAGGATGGCCCAAACTTGGAACCTTGCACCTGTGAGGGTAATCCAGGATAAGCTCCTGGCTCCTGGCTTCAGAAAGCCTCAGCTTCATCCATTGCTGCCACTTGGGGAATGAACCAACAGATGGAATCTATTTCTGTAAATTTGCCTTTCCATTAAAAATTAATATTAAGGGCTCATATAAATAAATGAATTCCACAAATGTGAACTTTTATCTGTTGCTTTGTTCCCTTAAAAAAATCACAATAGTGATTGATAAAGATTACATGCTTACTGAATACTAAATAGGTAAAAATACACCAAAATTAACATGACTTCCTTCCATGATGAAACCATCAAGGGACTAAATATGTAAAGCTATTTACTAATAATTGCTTTGTATCCATGTTTAGTGTCTCTCAAAGATTCAATAAAAGCAAATTTAAAAATCAAACTTGAATATTTATAAATTTGATTTTTAAGCAAAGATATGACATGATTAAGCAATTTATGAATTTAAAGTAGTTCTAAGGATTTCAGTTCTAAGAATTTCAATTAGGTGATTATATACTTTAAAAATGCTAAAAGCAAAAAAAAAAAAAAAACAAATTGAATATATGGTCTTTCAGCTTAATCATCTGTTGATTTATTGACTAACCAGATATTTCAGTTTGTGAACTGAAAGAAAAACTAAGGGACCACGTTTCTGTATTCATACTTAAATCCCCCCTTTACATGTGCTGGGATCCCATATGGGTGCCACTTCATGGCCCAAATGATCCACTTCCCATCCAGCTTCCTGCTTATGGAAAGCAGTGGAGGATGGTCCAAAGCCCTGGGGCCTTTCACCTTCATGGGCCACCCACACAAACTCCTGGTTTCGGATTGGCTTAACTGACCAATGCAGCCATTTGGGGAGTGAACCAAGTGGAAAATCTTACTCTGCCTCTGCTTCTCTATAGAGCTGCCTTTCCGATAAAAATATTTTTTTTTTAAAGTAGGAGAAAGAAGTGAAACATTCCTTAAGCATTTAGAAATTCTCAAAAATAGTATGCATGGTGTTATTAGCCTTTTGCTCACTAGAGGGTAGTAGAAGTTCAACCAATACAATTCAGATTATTAATGCTTATGTGACAGCCAGAACCCAGTTACTATTAGCACTTACTATTTTACTTTAATAATGTTGTTTTTGGAGAACATCTCAAATATGGGCTTAACATTAATTCCAATATATTACGATAAAACTCTGGGAATGTTCTAAAATCATGTCATTCTTCCTTGTTCTTATTGTAAATATGACACTTTCATAAATAACATTTAAAAGTGAACATTTTTGAAATGATAGAACCAATTAAAATGAAGTTTCTGATGTGATTAATGCATGTTAAGGTGTTTCAGCTAATTTCTTTTCCTCCTTTAAAGTCTTCATAGCGAACATTTTAAGGGCTTGTACATAATTCAAATGATGTGGGTTAGAAAAGAAGAAGAACACGACTGGTCACATGCTCTTCTTCTTTGCTAACAATGATACCCACACAAAATCAGCTAAGCCAGGGAAAGGGAACTTTGATGGAACCGATTCCGACAGCTAGTTATTTGGAAAAATGGATTCCATAGCCCTCTACAATGGGGAAAAATTGGATTTGTAGATATTTATTATTTTTCCTGAATAAGAGGAAGCAACAAAACCCAGACTTGCAGTCGAATCTCATTTTCAGGGAACAGTTACAAATATCTATAGGAAAGTGCTTCACGGAGGACAAAGATGACCATGATCGTCGATGCCTGAGGCCTCTCTTAAACTTCTTGACGTTTCAGTCACCCCAAAGAGAAAGCTATCACTGAAAACGTTGTAGAGTGTCTGATGATGGGAAAACTCTTGTTAAACACGCATTATTTTGGAAAAACGCAGAATATGGCGGGAAATGCATAAATATGGCTTAGCGCTGCTTTCACTGAATGTGTGTGACATCAAAGGCAAGAATGACACGTGGCTAGAAGGCCTCCATGGCATATACATGCTGTGTCTAATTTCAGTTGTAGCGAATGAGCCCAAGGTTGAAAAGGAAGGCTGCAGGCTTTGTGAGGCAAAGCCTCTGGCTGTGCCCCGCCTACGCCTCTCTGGCTGCTGGTAATTGCGCCACTTCAAGCCGTGCCAACTTTTTTTTTTTTTTTTTTTTTTGCCTTAGCCCATCTTTCTTGATTGTGAGGCAGAGGCAGGATTATGTGAGTGATGGCAGTTGAAATTGTCTTTTAATTCAAGCATCCTATTTTGGGTTTCCCTGTGTCTATTCCCTTAAATCAACAGGCTCCGTCCATTAACTGTCGTGTCGGTGCAATCCAACCGGCTTGAGAGCTCGGCCTTTTCAAGACGGTTTATAGAGTTTCAAACTAGGAAGAGGAAAAAGTTACTGCTTAGTATGGAAAGGATCTCGGCTTGCGTCGAGTGTGTAACGCTTGCCACAGTAACTCAGTAACTCAGCGGCTTCAGAAAGGTCGGTTCCTGTACCAGGCTGTGTCTAGAAGAAGAAGGCAGGTTCACAGTGGAGAACTGCCCAGCTGCACGCCGCTTACTGCCTGCTGGGGACAACTGGGAGGGGCACAGAGCCGCAGATGGGGCGCCCTGTTCCGCCTGCAACCCGTGTGTTTGCAAAAGGTTGCGCCTGCACGGTTTCCCAGCCCAGGCAGCGAGTCAGGCCAGCGGACGAGGACGAGGGAGAAGCTCAGCGGCTTCTCCAACCTCCTCCCACCTTACTGCTGCACCCACCCCCGAGCGCCCCGCCCCGCCCCCTCGCCCTTATAGTGGGTCCCCGCGCCTCTGAGCCTCAGACTCTCCCCAGCGAAGCGCAGGGCTGCCGCGCTGGTGGAGCCAGGGCCGTGGCGGGAGGAGCAGAGTGAGGCTGCTGCGCCCCCCATGATGGGGGGCAGTCCGGCCCTAGCCTCGGTCGCAGCCGACCTCCACCATCGCCCACGCCGCGTCTGCCAACTCCCACCGCTAGTACTGCCGGTGCTGCTACTGCCACTGCTGCCCGGACGCCGTGCCCTCCTCACCTCGAAGGCAACATGAAGGAAATTCGGGGACACGGCGGGAACTCTCCCTTCTGTACCCGCCTCAACGACTCCTATTCCGGCATGTGGGCGCCAGAGGCACAGAGCAACCTCACACGCCCCCCTGGGCCGGGTGAGGACTGCGGGTCCGTGTCGGTGGCCTTCCCGCTCACCATGCTGATCACCGGCTTTGTGGGCAACGCGCTGGCCATGCTACTCGTGTCGCGGAGCTACCGGCGTCGGGAGAGCAAGCGCAAGAAGTCGTTCCTGTTGTGCATTGGCTGGCTAGCGCTCACTGACCTGGTTGGGCAGCTACTCACGAGCCCGCTGGTCATTTTGGTATACCTGTCCAAGCAGCGCTGGGAGCAGCTCGACCCGTCGGGGCGCCTGTGCACCTTTTTCGGTCTGACCATGACTGTTTTTGGGCTCTCTTCGCTTTTCATCGCCAGTGCTATGGCTGTCGAGCGGGCGCTGGCCATCCGTGCGCCACACTGGTACGCAAGCCACATGAAGACGCGCGCCACTCGCGCCGTGCTGCTGGGCGTATGGCTGGCGGTGCTTGCCTTCGCCCTGCTGCCAGTGCTGGGGGTGGGCCAGTACACCATCCAGTGGCCTGGGACATGGTGCTTCATCAGCACCAAACAAGGGGGCAATGGGACTAGCCCCTCACACACCTGGGGTAACCTGTTCTTCGCCTCCACTTTCGCCTTCCTGGGCCTCTTGGCGCTGGCTGTCACCTTCGCCTGCAACTTGGCCACCATTAAGGCCCTGATGTCACGATGTCGAGCAAAGGCGGCAGCATCGCAGTCCAGTGCCCAGTGGGGCCGGATCACGACTGAGACGGCCATCCAACTCATGGGCATCATGTGTGTGCTTTCGGTCTGCTGGTCACCCCTACTGGTAGGTCGTTGCCGGGTATGGGGTGGGAGGGACATGGAGACTTCTCCAAACTGCCATATCTGCAGAGTGTGATTACAGTGGCAGGACGCTGAGGCAGCTTCTGTGCTGTGCTGGCACTGGTTGTGCACACATGAGGATGGCAGGACTACTGTCATTCGAATCCGAGAAGGGGGAAAGGACTCTCAGGTATTAGATCAGGGCAAGTGCAAGAAGAGGTGTGTCGGTATAGTTGGAACAGAATGGTAATGACGGATTATGTTTTCTGCTTGTTTCTAATACCTCTCTCAAGTTCAAGCACTTTTCACTCTGCACAAGGAAACTACTGTAACTCCAGACAGGTATAAAACCCCTTACTGTAACAACACACCCACAGGGCACCCTTGCTGTGCAGCAGGTCATGTGCTAGGTTTCCACAGGACAGTGAGAGAGGCGCAGCTTAGGACATCCCTCAGCCTTAACTCTTTAGAGTGTGCTTGATCCTCTAGGATGCACTTGAACTTGCAGATAGTCAATGGGACCAGGCCTCTGAGCCCTGGCAGCCAGCTTTCCGGAGTCAGGAGCTAGGAGAGCCTCCACTGTGCAGGCTCTCTCCCTACTGGTACCAGGAACAGGTGATGCTTCCACACATTCCTTGTCAGACACCTGCCCTTAGATGTTATTTTTTAGGTTTTCTTTTATGATGTTTGTAGCTGGAAATGTCTGTGGGCAATGCTGTTTGCTAGTTCCTGAACAATGGATATTCATTTAGGCCTGGGGCAGCCTGGCCCAATAGGTTTGGTGAAAGAGATGTCTGAGCACTGTTTTGACAGTGTCAGCACTAATTACACATTGGACCTGGAAAGTTATCACACTGTTGTGGAAAAACTCTGAAATATATACAACGAAATATGTTTCACATTCTATCACATAAAAGTGTTGTTTTTTTATTGTGCTAAAACACACATGGCATATAGTTTACTATTTCAACCATTGTAAGTGTACTGTTCAATGTAGTGAATACATTGACCTAGTAGTGTAACATATACAGTTCTAAATCTGTTGTCCTTTAAAGTTGAAATGTAGTGCTGTTCTCCCTTCACCCCTCCCCTGCACTTGGAAAAACAGATATTTGATAATACATGTGTTTAACTGGTGTGATATATTTGGAGCACAACCTTGGCTCCAAGTCAGAGACATGTGGTGAAAAGACAAGTTATATTGAAACCCAGCTACCCACAAGTCCCTGTGTGGTAACAGGTCTGTGGTCCCAGGGCTGGACTACATGCTGGGGTCATCACCAAGGCTTACCAAAACCAGCACCAATTTTAGAAACACTGACTCTGTGTTTGAGGAATGAGGTGTGAAGGTGGTCCAACCGGAAGGGACAAATGTTGGAATAGTAAATCATGAAGTGCAGTAATTAGCACCAACTTGAAAGACAAACAGCATCTGAAATTTTCACAACTGTCATTTGAGTCCTGCACATTTAACTTTGCTATCACACAATTGAAATCCTAGGGAAAAAAGGCAGTTAATATAACTTTTATGTATGTTAGTGTGTTAGTGTGTGAATAAAATGTTTAGCTAAGCAGTTGATCATCTTTATACTTTCTCTTTGTTTTTAAATAGGACATAATGTTTAGAAGCTGTTTTTTTTTTCTTTTTGTTTTTTCAATTTGAAAACTTTGGTTCTTTTTTTAAACTGAAGATTTATTTATTTTTATTTGGAAGGCAGATATACAGAAAGGAGGAGAGACAGAGAGGATGATCTTCCATCCAATGATTCACTACCCAAATGACTGCAACGCCTAGGGCTGAGCCAATCTGAAGCCAGAAGCCCAGAGCCTCTTCTAGGTCTCCCACAAGGGTGCAGGCTCCCAAGGCTTTGGGCCGTCCTTGACTGCTTTCCCAGGCCACAGGCAGGGAGCTGGATGGGAAGTGGGGCTGCCAGGATTAGAACCAGCACACATATGGAATCCTGGCACATCAAGGTGAGGACTTTAGTCGGTACACTATCACGCTGGGCCCGGAAGCTTTGATTCTAATATTATGAATATAGTGCCTTTAGGAAAAATATAAATGATGTTGAAAATGGTCTAAAAAAACATATTCAGAATTATTAGTTTCAATAAGTATTTTCCTTTAGGTAATTTTCATTGATTTATAGCATTTTTTCTTAGAAAACATTAATTTGGAAATAAAATAAATTTAACATGTGATAATGTTGAAGAGTAGAAATTTATGCTTCAAAAATGACTGCTTTAAAAGGGAAATGTTTTTATCTTTTATGTTCCACTGAGATTAAACCTTCATGTATCTTTAGAATGATCTACAATACCAAGTTGGAACAATTTCAAAGGAAAGAAACTGGCAAAACTGCTTTCTTAATTGGATAGGGACTTGTAAGAATGGAAACATTAGAATTTAGTAAATTGAGTTTTCAGTGTATTAGTATTAAAGTAAGAATTTTTGTTTTGTTTTGTTTTGTTTATTTCTTTTCCTGTGGCTAAAATTATGTTCCTATTGCCTTTTGTTGGTTTGGGCTTCTGTTACTAAACCAATTATCCAAAATCCTTACTAAAAGTGATCTTGAGTATGTGTTTCCTTGGAAGACTATTGTAACTATAGTAATATTCAATTGTTGCTGCTGTAAAACTTAGTAGAGCAGAAATATCATGATAAGAAAGCACCCCACTGCTACAAGTTCCCACCTTTAAATACTTAAACAGAAAGCTTATTATGATGTAAACACTATTTTTCTTTTTCTTTTCTAGAAGCTTTTCAATATAAATATGGGATGTAAAATTAACTGGAAAACAGATGTGAAATATGACTATGAGCTGTGAAATTAAGTGGGAAACTATGTACTTCTCAGTCGTTGTTTATGTAAGGCATCAGATTACCCTTCTGTTGGAATTGTCTAGCTCATTCCACAACGTTGTTTGAATTATTATTATTATTATTCTGTTTGATTTTTATGAGATATACTCAGCAATTAGTCCTGTTATTTGATTCAATAGCCAAGTTTCCAGAAAGAAGAATAACATTCAAATGTTTTTCAGAGGAAGCCATGAGGACATTTTGTAGTTTTCGAACGTAGCACTCTATCAGGTAGAATGTTGTTGATGCTGTAACTATCTTAAAAGTAGGAAATATAAAGCTGAATATCAGGTTTGGCATGGTAGTCTAGTGGCTAAAGTCCTCCCATATGGACTCCAGTTCTAATCCCAACAGCTCTGCTTCCCTTCCAGCTCCCTGCTTGTGGCCTGGGAAAGCAGTCAAGAACAGGCCAAAGCCTTGGGACCCTGCACTCGCTGGGGAGACCCGGAAGAGGCTCCAGGATTCTGGCTTTAAATTGGCTCAGCTCCAGCTGTTGCAGTTACTTGGGGAGTGAATGGAATCAGCAGATGAAAGATCTTCCTCTCGATCTCTATTCCTCTCTGTGTATCTGAGTTTTCAATAAAAAATAAATTAGGCCTAAAAAATTAAAAATAAAACTGAATATCTATAGGTGAGTTATGAAGAATGATTGCTCATTTTTAGCCCTGGACCTGGACATAAGTAGCTGTAGAAGCTTTTGCCTTTAATCTTGAACTAGTAAATTCTCCATTCAGTACCTACAATAGGGATACTTCAGTTCAAGAAATTTTCACAATGTATTTGTGATTTTTTTTTTAAACTTTACGGGTAACTACTATGTTCTGGGAAATAAAATTTGCCTTTTGCATGTACCACATGTGACAGGTGTAATAGATTGGCAGAATTAATGTTGTTTTACATTCATGTAAAGTTTGTTCAGTTGCTCATCTTATATTCCTATGAATTTCTGCTGTATTTAGAATGCTACTTCAGGGAGCATGATTCAGCATGTGAGTTTCCATCATGGGAAAATAAACTTACAATTAGTGTTTTAAGATTTAGGAACCTTCAGACTTCTTTATACCTTTTTTTTGTTCTTTGCTATGTTTCAGACACTATAGGAGAAATATTAAAGAAAGTTGTGGCAAAGCAATCAAAATTACAATGTTTTGGACTGACATGCTGTGGTAGATAAATTTGTCTCTTGCAATTCTAGCATCCCACATGGGTGGTGGTTCATGTTCAGGCTGCTCCACCTTCATTGCAGCTCCTTGACAATAAACTGGGGAAAGCAGCCGAAAAGGACCCAACTGTTTGGGCACCTGCCACCTACATGGGAGACCTGTATTAAGCTCCTGGTTCTTGGTTTCAGCGTGGCCCAGTCTTGGCCATTACACCCATCTAGCAGATGAGAGATCTTACCCTCTCTTTCCATCTCTCCCCCTCTCTCTCTCTCTAATTGATTTTCAAACAAAAATTCTTTTTAAAAACAATTTTCTATTCAGAGAGAAATAGTATTTTGACAGTTGTGAATGAAACTATGAAAGAAGAATGATATGAAACAAGTGTACCTAGTTCTTATTCTCTCCGAAGAAACAACTTGTAATTTTACTAGAGCAGCCTTCCAGGGAGAATAGATCTCATGGCTAAGAACAAGCGTGCCCAGGAATGCAACCCAGTGAGAACAGCATGCACACTACAATGATAGGAATCATGGTTTGAGAATGAATATTCAAGAAACCACGTTTAGATAATTAGTTCATGAGTAACGAGATTAGACCTTCACTGATTCTGAACTTGCTTTGATTCTTTTTTTTTTTTTTAATAGGGATAAGAGTTTTTTGGTAGGGCTGAATTGTGTGGATAGATTATCACAGAAAATAAGGATTGACATCAATTATGCCTTGCTATTTTTATAGGTCAGTTGGGGCCTTAGGGTAGAGAAAGTTGGAAGAAATGAATTATGGAAGGAATGAGAAAAAAGTTGTAATATTATTTATTAATGTTTCATTAAGGGAATGATGCAACAAACAAATATTGAGCTGGATTCTGGCACCTCAATTACAGGCTTAACTTACTAATCACTTGATGGCCCACAAACACTTTTTAGTGATCATTTTTGAAGAAATTCAATTGGGCTAATGTTGACACATAATTGTGAT